TTCTTGCTCCACCCGCCCAAACCAGCGCCGACGGGACCGTCGGCTCCTGCCTCCCGTGGTCGGCCATGCTGCCACTACTAGCCATGCCATCCCTCTACTCACCCACACCTCCTGTTATTCTCCGACGATGGCAACCTCACACCGCAGCCGAACCAGTTAACCCTCGTACTCCCCTCTGTGTGGGCATCCGCTGCCGCGTCTTCCCCAGCTCCGTGTCGTTCCCTTCTTAGCCTCACCATCATTTGCCGCCTTGGTGATATTCACCGGGAGCCAACCAACTTGGACGAAACGGCCAAAACAAGGTCTGGCATACCGCAAAACGGAGGAAACGACATTCTATTCGACCACGTACGGTCAAAACAGGGTCCTATTGATCGGGAGGGGTCTGGCGTACCGCAAAACAAAGAAAACAAACTTTTGTTCGAGCGCCTATGGTCGAAACGGGGTCCTATTCATCGGGAGGGGTCTAGCGTACCGCAAAACGGAGGAAACGGACTTCTGTTCGAGCGCCTACGGTCGAAATGGGGTCCTGTTCATCGTGAGGGGTGTGGCTACTACAAAACGGGACTCCACGACCTACTATTCATCCACCGTCTACGGCCTCGTCCCAGCCTCCACAAACTACTGTTTATCCATCGTCTACTTCCTCTAGCCCCCACCTACTATTGTTCATCCACGGGTTACTGTTCATCTAGCCTCCACGAGGTCATGTTCATCAACCCCCAACTGGCTGGGGTGTGGCGGCCTTCTCGGGTCCTATTCATCCAGCTGCAACGGCCTACTACCACGGGGGCCTGTTCATCTAAATCCCACCAGGAACTGTTCATCCACAGCCAACCAACCGGCCCGACTCATTCTACATACCGCACGCACAATAGCCAATGGTCATTGTTCATCAAGAGGCAACCCAATAGCTGCTGGCTAGCTACATCTCGCACGGGGGTTCGATCAGCTTCAGTAAGCAGCAGCTGCTAGCTAGCGATAGATTGCTCGAGTTCAATTAGCAGCAGAAGTGAAGGAACCGCTCGGGTTCAGTCAACGGCAAATGAATCGCTCGGGTTCAATTAACAGCCAAGGGATTAATCGCTCGGGTTCAGTAACATATCGAATGCAATTGCTTGGTTTGGTAAGCGAACGCCTCACTCGGGTTTAGTTACGTACCCAACGCCTCGCACATACGCGCGTACGAGAGAGAAGTGCGCAAACCATAGTGCATTTTGCTCGGCCCCGACCACCCACCGTAACCGGGAACTCCTCGATATTCCTCGTCCTTGCTTCTACAACAATTTTTTCCGTCATGGATGGCCTAAAGAATGTCATGCAGGTGCATCTCCGGCCCGCCCAGGACGAAAAGCCCAATTTCCGTCATGATTTTTTGCAATAGAAGTAGGAGCCCACCACATCTATGATGATACATGTTTTTGTCACAATTATCATCATAGAAGTGTCATAAGCATGACAGAAAAAATGCGTTCGAGCCATAATGTCACATATGTGTCTGTTTTTTGTAGTGCTCTTACAGGGCCCATGAGTTGGCATGATGGCCCAGGGCGGAAACCAGCATAGGGGCCTCGGGCCAGCCTACTCGGGTCAACAACTAGAGAGGTGTGGCACCCTTGGACCGTAACACCGTCGTTCATGGTCAACATTTGTGAAGCAGTGTCGATTCCCTTCTTGTCAAGAAGCTTGCCATAAGAACAGTGAAGAGTTTTTTGTGTACTGCAAGCTCGGCTTGCTATTGTGTGAGGTCTTGCTAGTTTCTGAGGCAAGGAATACCTCACCAACATCATGAGGACTTGTGTGATTCTTTAAAACATGATCATCGAGGATGACATGGGCTTGGATTTTGACTTTGAGTATGACAATGTTGGTAGCCTTCTTGAAAGAGAATGGTGCCCCATGTGTAGTTTTGGTAATTGATGACATCCTCTATGGACTAATGGTTGCCTTTGAGTTATATTTGTAGGTTTGTCCATAGACATTTCTTGAAGTCCATGTGTTGGTTTCAAGGAGATTATGTGATGACCAAGGTGCTACTCAAGGAATTATCCAAAGATTGGTCATAGAGAAGACATGATACAAAGTTGATCAAGACTAAGTTAAAGAGTGAATCAAGTTGATCAACACACAAAGCGTACAAGATGTACTGAGAGGGATTAAGTGATCCCATGGTATGGTAAGCATTGTCAATTATGCTTTTGTGTACTAACCCATGGCCTACGTGAGAGTTCTATGTGGGGTTAGGTACGTTTCCATGGGCTTGCGTCAAGAGTAAGATCTCATAGAACCCATGGAGGATGACATCAAGTGGAGCATCACGAAGAGATCATGCTTGAAGCTTGCAGTCCATTGCGGTGGCAATGGACTTGTGAAGATGTGCCAAAGAGTGACTCACCCATAGTGGAGTATGGTGGAGCAATCAACTAGTCCTCATCGAGCGTGCACAATCAATAAAGGTGGTCCAACTTGAGGAAGTCAGATCATCATCATCTAGCTCAAGTGGACTATGTGCAAGGCTAAGGTTTGCCCTTGATAGGATATGTTTTCTATTTTTTCGTTCTCATGGTGGTAGCTGGGAGACCGGGTTATAGGATCGATTGTCGTACTATCAAGGGGGGCTCTCAAGTAAGTAGCTTGACCGCATCGTTTGTAGAGAGCTCAAACCATTGCATACTTGCATCATCTTTCTTGGTTCTTTTTTGACTCTTCTCATTGTGAGGTTTTAGAGTTTGTGTTCATCTCTTGTCAAACTCAAGCTCATCAAAAACGGAGTTCGCATGCTTCATCTTTGAGTTTTCGGTGTTGGAGAGTTTGCCGGTTCATGCTTGGGGAAGGTCCTCTTCCTTATCCTATTGGCATTTCTTCTCCATTGCTAGTTCTTAATTTTTCCAGTCGATGTTGGATAGTACTTGTCGTCTTCTATCCAACAAGCTTGAGGTTGCTGATTTTGGAGTCCGTTTGCAATAGTTATAGCAGTTTCAGTATTGGAGCGTCCTTCTATTTTGCTTTGGCAGTGTTTTAGCTCTAAGCGATAGTACCGCTTATAAGCGGTACCGCCAGCCAGCTACTTCCGCTCATATTTATGCTTTTGGAACTCGTCATGACTTTTGCAGTAGTAGAGAACGGTAGTATCTCTTATAAGCGGTAGTACCTCCCTGAGCGGTAGTACCACTTATAAGCGGTAGTACCTCCCTGAGCGGTAGTACCACTTATAAGGGTAGTACCTCCCCGAGTGGTAGTACCACTTATAAGCGGTAGTACCTCTCAGTCAGAACTTTTTCTGTCGCGTTGAGGTGTTTTGACCGTGCTAAGCGGTAGTACCGCTCCCCCGAGTGGTAGTACCGCTTGAGCACGACTTGTGCGCATAACGGCTGGATTCAGGGGGCCTATTTAAGGGGGCCTTCTTTTCCAATGGTCTCTATCTTTTGAGCTCGTGTTTCGCCCCCATTGTTGACCTTCTTAGAGCTTGCTATCTCTCAATCCCTCCAATGATTCTTGCTAATTCTTAAGGGAAAAGAGACAATAGATCTAGATCAACATTTCCACCAACCACTTTCTCATCTAAGTGAGAGGAACCCCTTGAATCTAGATCTTGGAGTTTTTTGTGTTCTCCTTGTTCTTCCTCTCGCATTCCTACATAGCTTTTATTGTCGTGGTGGCTTTGAGAGTGAGGGACTTGGGCACTCCGTGTGCCCTTGCCATTGCATTTGGTGCAACGATTTGAGTTCACCATGGAAGTGAAAGGTGAGAAGCTTATTACTCTTGGGCGTTTGGGCACCCTAGAGCTTGTTCCTCTTGGGTGCTTTGGTGCCCTAAACGATTGGTGTTGTCAAAGCTCAATCATTGTGGTGTAAAGCTTCGGACAAGTTTGGTGAGACTCCAATTAAGTCGCTTGAGAGTGCCCCGAGCAATTTGTATGGGTTCTGGTGACCGCCCCTAAGGGTTGTCATTTGTACAGGTTCAGTGACCGCCCTCAAGGGTTCCTTAATGGAATCACGACATCTTGCATTGTGCGAGGGCGTGAGGAGATTACGGTGACCCTAATGATATTCGGGGAGCACCGTGTCTTCACATGGCTCCAAACGGAGATTGGCATCCGCAAGGGTGTGAACTTCGAGATACATAGTTGTCTCTGCGTGCCTCAGTTATCTCTTAGCCAAGCCCTTTACTTATGAACTTTACTTTGTGATAGCCATAGTGTTTTTTATTATACATCTTGCTATCACTTAATTGTTTATCTTGCTTAGCATAAGTCGTTGGCGCACATAGATGAGCATATTTGTTTTTGGTTTTGTGCTTGACAAATTAAATATGAGTTTTATTCCGCATTTGTTCAAGACTAAACCGTAATCATTTTAAAGGGACTATTGACCAGCCCTACACGCAACATCCACGATCTTCCACTTGTGTAACCTCACGGGAACCAGGACCGGATCCAAACATTTCCTGAGACATACCGAGAGATTGGAGATCGGGCATTGCATACCCAGGTTCGTGAAGATCGAATTGAGCATCAACGTAGTTACTTGGGAGACAGTCTCCTTTTATTCGACCATGTCTACTCATTTTATTCATGCTCGATTTGAACCCTAAACGCTGAGGAGACGAGGAAGCTCAAGACCGTGTGCACAAGTGCCTTATCAAAATCAAGATAGAGGAACAACCTGACGGTCGAGAAGCGCGTCGAGACGCCGCGGCCATTTCGATTCAAACTAGACTGTGCTTTACCTTGGTTATTAAACCTGGCCGATAACTAACCCCAGGCCGCAGCAACGCACAAAACCACCAGCAGCGGCAGTAACCAACGCACGAAACCAGCTGCAGCTCCCCGACCCCGAATTCCTCCCCTCCCAGTCCCAGGCCAGAATCCCCAAATCCGGATCAGCCGCAAAGCAAAACGTTCGAAACCAAGACACAGACGCCCAAGCCCACGCCCACGCCCAAATCTCTCTCTCTACTCGCATGCGCGGAGGCGCAGCTACCCGCAGCAGCGAGTCGCCATGATCGTGCGCACCTACGGCCGCAGATCCCGCACCTTCTCCGACGGCGCCGCCGGCGCCGGCGCCGGCGGAGGCGGAGGGGACCGCGGGCTCTCGTCCTCGCAGGACGCGTTCGACTTCGACGCCGGGGATGGGGACGACGAGCTCGCAGCGCTTGGCTCGTCCGCGTCGCAGCCCTTCCCGCCCTCGCAGGAGTCCTCCTCGATGTGGGACTTCGACGAGGACCCGCCCACGCAGCCGCCGCCGCCCCGGCTAGAGGGGCCGCGCCGTAAGGGGCGCCGCGGGAGGCACGCCGAGCTCGAGCCCGAGGCGGCCACCGCCACGCTCATGGAGGCCGAGGAGTACGGGGAGATGATGGAGAGCGTCGACGAGGTCAATTTCGCGCTCGACGGGCTGCGGCCCACCGCGCCCAGGCGGGTGCGCCGGGCCAGCCTGCTCGCGCTGCTCGGGATCTGCGCGTCCGCCGCGCGCCGCCGCGTCCTCCGGGCTCAGGGGTCAGTACACCTTTCTTTTAACTGCTCCGTGGAGAATAACAAGTTGGTTTCTTGTTCTTCTTTGGTGCCCAATCTTGGCTCCCAGAATCGAGAACCTCGGGTTAGGGTTACGAAATTGGGGCTTCTTGCGGGTGACCTCGGTTCAAAGATTGGGATTTTGTGCTATTAGGGCTCAAGAATTTCGGTTTCTTGGGGAAAGGAGCCACCTTTTGGCCTTCAAACCACGAACGAGCCCGCTCTGTTTCCTCTTGTCTTGTGATGATGAATGGCTCAACTCATGCAGCTAATTCGCAAATATAAATCTTGTTTGCTTGCCTGGCCTGAGCTGTTAGTTCGATTAGTTTGCTTTGTCGGGGTTATTGTTGAAGAATTAAGACTTAACATATCGTGGAGAATCCCCATCGACTAACTATCACAATTGGGCTTAAGGAGTATGCACTTGAAGTATCCGCGTCTCAAGCAGGCTGGTCTCTTTGCTTTTTGCTAAGAGCTCCAGTATCCCATGATTGCATAAGAAGGAAGCATGCTGATTGATTGGAAATGTCTAGAAAGACATCTCCCCTGTTGAATTAGGATTTGCTCGGGCCTGTAGATACGTCCGAAGAACATTGTTGGTACAAGTGCCATCCGTTGAACTCGAGCCTAATATTTCTTCTCTGTCCAGGAGAGTATACATTTTTTAACCAAACGTGATGTATTTAGGGGTGTGTCTATAGCTCAGTCATCTTAGATATAGTTATTTCTCAGTCAACATTGGTAGCCATCCTGTGAAGATCCTCTCATCCCTATTGCAGTTGCACAATCTCAATGTTAAGACCAAACTATTTTTAGCTGTGACTCAGTTGCCTGTGAAATAGCAATACCGTTTAGTGAAACAAAGGGCATGCTTGAAGTGATGATGTTACCTCTTGAATTACTAGATTCTTACAATGTTTTACCCATTTCTACATCTGTAGGTGGTTAACATTGCTGAAAGTAAGTTCTCATTGAACACAATTATTTTAACATGTAACCATGTAATGTTCATCTCAGTAATCTATTGAGTCTGAGAAGTACGAAAATTAAAATCACCGTTTGGCAAACATTTCATTTTTTTTTCTTTCAAATATTACACGAATCCCATCTTATACTCACAAGTGCATTTTTTGTTATGTCCTGTAGATTGGTAAAGCAAATTATAGATAATGTTTTGGCTCTGAACATTGATGATCCTTCCTGTGGTGTTGCGGCGGCAGCTCTTTTATTTGTTTTGGCAAGTGATGTGAGTACCTCTCAATCCCAAACCACCAGATGATATGTTTCTGTGCATGCTGCTTTCTGTGCATATTAAATATTCTCTTCTCACGAATCACAAAGATACTCGTGTCGTGACAAAGTTATTTATTTATTTTTCTTGTAGAAATATTTGCTTTCTTCCTCAATACTAATGCATGATAAAAATAACTTCAGTTCAGCAACGTTATGCTTTATTTTTTATTGACAGCTGAACTACAATTTATAATTTAAACTCTAGCTAGTTTAACACTCCCTTTCAAGTCTCTAAAACGTCCTATATTAGTTTACAGAGGGAGTATTTACTATTCAGATTTTCATTTGTGAATTACATATATTGCTCGATGAATGCGTTTTCCCAACAGTTGCTGCTCTTTTGATACTTCTGGGTTCTGATGAGCATTCCTTCAGCTTCAGTTTCTTCTTATGATCAATCTATCCTTTCTTGTTGTTATTCAGGTACAAGAGAATCATGTGCTAAATTCAGAATCGTGTATTCGGTTTCTTCTTAAATTATTAAATCCTCCAATGGACGCAAATGATGTCAAAGCACCATCTATAGGTTCCAAACTCCTTGGAATCAGTAAAGTTCAAATGTTTAATGGCTCAAATAAGGATTCCGATTCCAGCTCAGAGGATATCATATCAAAAGTTGAAGAAATCCTCTTAAGCTGTAAAGAAATCAAGCCACTTGACAGGGATGGCAAGAGAACATCAAGGCCAGAATTATGTTCAAAATGGCTTGCTTTGTTGACAATGGAAAAAGCATGTTTGTCAGCTGTCGCATTAGAGGGTATGGTTTTTAATCAATTTCTTGACCATGATTACCCTATTGCCATTATTGCATTCACCGCGAAGTACACTGTCAATTCACAAGTTAAGCATTGCATGCTTAGTTGCTTACTTTACATGGATGCCTTTGCCTAGCCCTTGTTTCACTTGTGTTTGAGTTTTCAGTGATGGCTTGCCTAGCCCAGAATTATGCGTGGTAACTTTTGTTTTTGCTATGGTTACTGAAATATTACTCATTTTCAAAAGTTTATCTTTTCAGAGACTTCTGACATGGTGACCAGAGTTGGAGGGGATTTCAAAGAAACATTAAGGGCATTGGGTGGTCTTGATAATATTTTTGATGTTATGGTTGATTGTCATTCCTCACTGGAGGTATGATCTTGCTTATCTTTTATTTATTTCATAAAATAAACAGGTATGTATTTTATGGTAATTCATCCCTCGGCACAGGTTCACATAAACAACATTCAAGCTGTCATTATGTGTTCTGTCACAATGCTGAAGAATGGTTGCATGTTTTTGTAGTCTGTACATTTTAAGCCCTAATATGCTTGAAGCTGCACACTAAAACTTTGAATGAAAATTATGCTGCGAAATTTTCTCTGAATGAAAATTTTAAATCCTGTCATGTTTCTGATTTGTGTAGTTTATGACCTGGGTCTCCCGATGTGTACACCATTTATTTTTGCAGTGATATTCTGCTAGTCCCTTTTCCCCATTTCGCATACTTAATGCATTATATACCAGTTAAGCTAACAGAATATAATATACTTGTGCTGGCCAACCTTGTATATCAGGGAATTGTAAAGGACACCTCCACTCTGTCCTTGGACATGAAGGAAGGAACATCTTTGCAAAGTGCTGCGCTCCTCCTGAAATGTTTGAAAATTTTAGAGAATGCCACATTCTTAAGTGATCAGAACAAGGTAATTTTCCATATCTTGGAATGTTAGTTCAGTGCAATGGTAGTATTGCCATGTACTACTTCTTAACTTAACTCTTGACTCCTTTTGATCCTTCCAGACCCATTTGCTCAGCATGAGTAGAAAATTGAGTCCCAGAGGCTCTACAGTTTCTCTTGCTGGTGTCATTATCAATATTGTTGAATTATTATCAGGTAATTTTGCATTAGATTTCAGTATTTTTCCTATTCCATATAGTGTAACGTTCAACATCCACTTTGAAAACTTGCAATCTGAGGCCTATTTTCCTTTGCTGCAGTACTGTCTCTCCTTCAGAATTCTTCCACTGTTTCAAGCAGTACAGATAAAAAATCTTCCAAAGGTTGTAAAGGGGGCTGCTCTGGTAGTCACAAGTCACAACCACCAAATTATTTGAACTTCTGTCTTTCCTGTGAACTGTCTAAATCTAGGGCAAATATAATATTTTCACTAGATTCAATACTTGATATATTTTCAGTGTTTTTCTATATTGATGACCCAAAGTATCCTCTCTGGGTGCAGCAATAAATTTGCAAGGCAGATAGGGTATCATGCATGTGCACAAATGTTCACTGTACACAAGACTATGATGTTCACCTTCTAGTCTCATATAAAGCACAACGATATATATTCCTCGATACAAGTTTAATATGGTCTCACGTTCGAAATTCTCTTGTGCAGCAGACATCAAGGGTGCAACTACATTGAATGGTCATGGCAAGGGCAAGAACTCGAAGAAAAATAAGCTTTCGCTGAACCAGAAATGCCAAAATTGCTCATCTTCCAAATTAGATGCTTCCCATATTAGTATATCTTCTACTAGTGACGTTGGCCTATCACAAATGACACTTGATTGTTCCCAGTCTACTTCAAGCAACAGGGCATCAAGTGGTTCATTAGGTGCGAGGCACAGCAATGGTCTTGGTCTTGGTCTGAAGCTTAATATAAGAAAGGAACGTGGTAAAGCCAACCCAATTAGAGGCTCAAGTGGATGGGTTTCTATAACGGCACATAGTTCTGATGGAACGTCCAGAGAAATGGCAAAACGACGACGTCTGTCTGAAAATGGCAACAGTGATTTGAGAAGTGGCAGTGGTAGTGATCCTTTTGCATTTGATGATGTTGATCAGGAGCCTGAACTATTTGGTCAAAAAAAGAGATCAACACATGGCCGTCAAGCAAAATCAGCGAATGAGAAATTGTCGGACGATCGTGGGATTGCTGCGATTGGAAGTCAGGAATCATATCAACCTGAAGATAATCATCATCTGGGTGCAACATCCCATTCTAATGTTGACGATGATTCCAGTCTTTTGGAAGACTGCCTTTTGGCATCAATTAAGGTAAGCCTTCGTGATTTTTCTTGGCTGGCATATTTTTGTAAAGAAATATTGCATCCCTTTGAAATAGGTTTGTCCATTTGTGAATGCTCGGTATAGGCTGTTAAACCATTGGCACATTTTTTCAATGTGTGAATTCGTACGATAGCATGCACTGGAAGATCTTTCACCATTTATACCACACAATAACTGTTCGTGGAATTGTGATGTGTCACTTGGTTGGAAGTTTAAGAAAGAGTATCAAGACAAATATACATCAGTCTGTCGTAGTATCTGCTTCACTCCGTGCATCGGTGCATACACGATGAATGGGCCTGATGCTTAAGTTTAGAGTTCAGTTTGTGGTGCCTGATTAACACTCTTACTTAACCTGAAACCTGCTTTAGTTGGGTTTAAGCATTAACGTAAAGCTGTCTCAGGCTTGCCTCCTATTGAAGGTTGAAGGTTCTGCTAAAAGTTACAATAAGCTTATTAAACTGAAGATAAAATTAATCCAGAGCATGAATGAACTTGCTCGTATGGTAAGTCCCAATTGTGATCAGCTCAGATGCTTTTCTAAGCTTATTAACCACCTTTAAACGGTTTTAGGTGCGCAGCCTGTTAAGTCACTTTGAAGATATGTTTCAGTATTAAATTTAACTGTGACAATAAGTTGTTTTTGAAAGACTAGCCTGTATGGATAGACTAGTTATTGATCTTGTCTCAACTAATTGTCGGCCTAAGCTTAACTGTACATACTTATGTATTACTTCTTGTGGCGGTATTTGTGAGATATCCCATAATAATTGTAGTCTCTTATCATTTTCTGCTCCTTACTAAGATATTTTATGAAAGATCATTGCACCTTTACCTTATCACTCCAAAAAGAAACTGTAACTGTCCAAAGGGTCCAATATTATTCGTCCCTTCTATTTTGCTGTGCACTATTGAAACTTTTGAACAGTTGGTGGCTGATGTTTTATGATAGAAAAATGTTATGTCGGTGTTACTTTTGCAATGGCATGTAGTATATGATTTGCCCATGTTTTTTCTGGCAGGTTCTTATGAACTTAGCAAATGACAACCCATCTGGTTGTGAACATATTGCATCATGTGGTGGACTTAACACCATGGCCTCCTTGATCATCAAGCATTTCCCTTCATTTGATTTCTCCGTGGACACTGGCCGAGATGTCGATCTTGGACAAGACCTCACCGATTCTGAGGACAGCAAAGCATGCCAAGTGAAAGCTAAGCAACTGCGAGATCATGAGCTTGATTTTCTGGTTGCCATATTGGGCTTGCTTGTCAATCTCGTGGAAAAAGATAGCCTTAATAGGTAAGCCTGTTACTTTCTTCCTTTCCATTTGTTTGATTCATGCCTGTGTTACTGTTCTGCTTCAGCTAGTTCCTTGGGGTCTGGAGCAGTCATATATCTGAACTAACAAATGTCTAGTTCTAAATTATTTCATGACCTGGCTGTAGGGTGCGGCTTGCATCTGCCCGTGTTTCTGTGGATCTGTCTAAGAACGCACAGAGTGAAAAGGCACAGAGGGATGTTATACCACTCCTCTGTTCAATCTTCTTAGCAAGTAAAGGTTCTGGGGAAGCTTCTGCAACTATATCACCGGTAATTCTAACCTTAATTCTTATCTACATTGAAACATGGTAAAGCTAGATGTGTATTACTATTACCTGCTCTTCGTTTCCAAAGTACCTTCTGTTTTGCAGCATATTGAATAATGAATACCTTAGTTTAAAATCCATGAAATGGAAACTAATGCATTTGTAGGCTTTGATATCCAGTTAATTGACAAAATACCATGAATAGTCGAGTACCATTCCATTTTAAACCTGCACTATATTATTAGCCTTTTTTGGGGATCTTTGTTGCAAATGCCTTGTATGATGTTCTGTATAGTACTCCCTCTGTTCCAAAATAGATGACCCAACTTTATACTAACTTTAGTACAAAGTTGGGTCATCTATTTTGGAACGGAGGGAGTACCTTCTACCTAGCAGCTAGCAAATCCTATTGTATGATGTCCTGTAGCTCATTTGATTGACTGCTTATTATAACTAACCAGGATGATGAAGAGTCAATGTTGCAAGGAGCACGGGAAGCTGAAATGATGATCGTGGAGGCCTATGCAGCCCTCGTGCTTGGCTTTCTTTCGATAGAAAGGTTAGTAATCTGAGTTGTCGTCTGTAATGTTCCATTATGGTGAGTTGATTGCATAATGTCAGCCTCAATGGTGTTGGACTTGTTAACATTTTGTCTGCTTCAACAGCATGAAGGTTCGAGGAGCGATTTCCAGCTGCCTTCCAAATAACAACTTGAAAGTTCTTGTGCCTGTGCTAGAGAAATTTGTGGTATGCCTCTTGTCCGGTAGATCTTACCCTTGTAGGAAGCTTATTTTCTTCTTCATTTCGACATTTTACCCTTGTGGTATGTTTCTACTTGCTGCTGCGTATAGAGATAGAGCATGTAATAATCCGTTTATTTGTTACATGTGCAGGCGTTTCATCTGCAGCTTAATATGATGACAGACGAAACACACTCATCTGTTACAGAAGTTATCGAAAAATGCAAACTATGATAGGATGGTGAAGAGGTCACCTGTATAGACTGACTGGCCTCTTCGCAGCCTAGGCACACACAAGTGTTCCTCCTCGTCCCCTCGTGCGCCGCAGATGACCTGCAGTCGTCTTGCAACTAACCAAGCATGGTGTCATTCTTTCTTTTCTTTTCCTTTTGCCCCCCTGTTGTTGTCGCGCATCTTTTGTGTGTGCTCCTTGCCGCCTCTCAAAACACGTTGTTTACTTAGCCAATTCAAATTGAATGTAAAATAACATCATAGGGAATGTACTGTGTGTGCGTGTGTGTGTTTGTAATTTGTACTGGTACCAGTCATAGTCAGTCACCACACATGCCTAAATCTGAAGAAGCTTAATGGAACGTACCGTCGCCATGCCGTTTGGTTTGTGCCTCCTGTGTCTGAAACAGAAAGTATTTTGTTTACTTGATACTGTTCCATTCAGCAGATGGATTTTATTTGGACAAAATTGTTGCTAGTCAATTACACAAAAAGTTGAGCAAAAATGCTATTCTTACAACTTGTACAAAATTTGTACGCTCCTTTGATTTTAGCTAACCATCATATATTTGAAAATGGTAGGAATAGCATCGCTCAAATTAAACGAATATAGTGACACATTGAAAAGGGTAGTCGTGCATTTGTTAGGCCCTCTTTGTTTGAGCTACATATTCTTGAGAATTTGTTGTGGCTTGGATTATACTCCCTCCGTTCCAAGAACGGAGGAAATTGGGCCGGGGGCCAGTGGCATTTCTAGCGTAATAACAGGGAGAGGTTGGTCTATTCCGGAACCTGGATAAGTGGCAACTCGGGTATCTAGGGAATCAGCAAATTCGCAGCTTCTGGCTTGCGCCTCGGCGTAGCACAATTCCAAAACCGATTCTCGAAAGCTAAGATAGAAATCTGAGTGTTTGTTTGAGATTTTGATTTTTTTTTTGCGGGGTTGAGATTCTGATTTTGGACGGGTTAGAATCCAAGAATCTTTTTTTTGCGGGAACACTTGTATTACTCAAATAATAATGTCCTTAAAATCATCAAGAAAAATACCCAAGACTTCCTCTGGCCCAGACCCTAGCCAGGTCATAGTTCGCCCTTCCACTCGAGCAAACCTAGCTAAACTATCACTAGCTTTATTCTCGGCACGCGAAACATGAGTAATACAAGTTTGTCTAAGACGAAATAAAAGTCTAATTTCATTCACCAAGGAGGCATAAACTGAGCGATCAACTTCACCAGAAGATATCAAAGATACAACCATACTTGAATCAGATTCAATTGCAAGAGGCAAATTAGACCTTTGTATGGCAAGAGACAGTCCTTCCATGATCCCACATAGCTCAGCTTCTAGTGGATCTCTGCAGGAAAATAGTGGTCTACATGCCGAGAAGATGATCTTTCCCTCAAAGTCATGAAGAATCATACCAGCACCAGCATCATCGTTTGCTACAAACGAGCCATCAGCATTCAATTTTACCCAGCCCCAACATGCTGATCAAAAGATATGTACCCCTTTCCTTTCATCGGGTCCATCTTCGAATTTAACTTGATGCCAATTAGTTCATCCAAGTATTTCCTCAGAAAGCTCACCGAGGACTCCATGATCGGTGCTGGCTTATTATGCACGATTTCATTACGAACATACCAACACCTCCAGAAGATGAGCAGTATTTTACTACGATCAATACCACATAAGGGGTCAAGTGCATGAAGAAGCCATTCCTTACCAGTGTTCATGAAGGAATCAATTGCTGGCAATTTCCACACTTTAGACATTTCTTTGTATAGATCTCGTCCACGCTGGCATCTTAAAAATGGGTGGAAATTATCTTCTACCTCCGTTCCACACACCCGGCAGCCGCTTACCGTTTCAAGACCAATTTTGTTCTTGTTCTTCCATGTTGGAAGGGCATCCGTCGCCACTCACCAAGCAAAATTGCGAATCGTCGGCGGCACTTCACTCTTCCAAATGAGTTTCCAACAGCTTCTCCCACCTGTGCTTGAATTACTGCTGGAAGCTACGTTTGCACCATGAACTTCCTGAAAAGCAACCTGATCGCTGACTTGACTGTAAAAATTCCAAGATTACTCGGCCCCCAATAAATCACGTCCTCATCCAATCTCGGAGATGCCCATATTTTCATGATCTCCATCACATCTGCACTCAAAAAATACTGTTGTAGTATTTCTACATTCCAAGACCCATTGGGATTAAGAAGGTCTGAGACAAAACAGATACGGTATCGGCCCTGTAGCGAAATAGGTTTGTATGAAAAAGGCCTTGGTATCCAGTTGTCCCTCCAAACCCGAATGGTTCTTCCATTTTCCACCCTCCACATCAGCCCTTTTTTCAACAGATCAAGACCGTGGCTGATGGCTTGCCAAGACGAGGATGCATTTCCTGTGAAGATCGTATCCTCCATCTTACCATGTGGATAGTACTTTGCTTTAAGCACCTGGGCACACAGGCTCTCCGGTTTAGTTAGTAATCGCCATGCTTGGTGAGCTAGCAAAGCTTGATTAAACATCCGGAAATCCCGAAAACCAACACCCTCTCTATCTTTGGGTTGGAGGAGATGATCCCAACCTTTCCAATGCACTTTACGCTTACCTTACGCTGATCCCCAATAAAAATTCCTCACCATTCTCGTAAGGTCGTCACAAACCGAATATGGAAGTTTGAAAACACCCATAATATATGTGGGCAAGGGCTGCACCAGTGATTTTATTAACACCTCGCGCCCAGGTTGAGCTAGAAGGCCGTCACCTCACTGGATAAGACGTTTTGTCAGACTTGCTTGTAAGTTCTGAAATTTGCCCTTGGACGTACGGCCCTCCGGGGTCAAGAGACCAAGATATTTCTCCTCAAACACCAAACTAGTGACATTCAAAGTATCCCGAACTTGAGCCTGAGCTGCTGCAGTACAGGCGCCACCAAAAAATAAGGAGCACCTGTTATAGTTTAGGTTCTGACCTGTAGCCGCACCATACATCACCAAGGTTGCCTTCACATTTTCAGCCTGGGCCCTTGTGGCCTCGAAGAACAGCAACAAATCATCGGTAAATAATAAGTGGGATACACCCGGAGCTCTCCTACAAACTTTCACCGGAGTGATTTCGCCCATGGCCACCTTGTTCTTCAGAATAGTAGACAAACCATCCGCCACAAACAAAAATAAGAGAGGTGAGAGTGGGTCACCTTGCCGAAGACCACGCGACGGTGCAAATGAATCTAAGAGGGTTCCGTTAAGTTTGACAGAATATCTCACCGACGTGACACACGTCATTACCCAATCATTCCATCGATGAGAGAAACCCAACTTTTGCATCACCTGCCTCAGGAAAACCCAATCCACTCGATCATATGCTTTTGCCAGATCAAGTTTATATGCACAAAAACTTTTTGTAGAATCCTTCTTTTGTTTAATGTAGTGAATACACTCAAAGGCCACCAAAGCATTATCAGTAATCATCCTCCCCGGAATGAATGCACTCTGTTCTAAAGAGATTAGGTTGTCTAACAAAGGCCTCAGTCGGTTGACCAAGCATTTGGAAATAACGGAAGGAAATATGCCCTAGAGGCAATAATAAAGTTATTATTTATTTCCTCATATCATGATAAATGTTTATTATTCATGCTAGAATTGTATTAACCGAAAACATGATACATGTGTGAATACATAGACAAACTTAATGTCACTAGTATGCCTCTACTTGACTAGCTCATTAATCAAAGATGGTTATGTTTCCTAACCATAGACATGAGTTGTCATTTGATTAACGGGATCACATCATTAGGAGAATGATGTGATTGACTTCACCCGTTCCGTTGGCTTAGCACTTGATCGTTTAGTATGTTGCTATTGCTTTCTTCATGACTTATACAAGTTCCTATAACTATGAGATTATGCAACTCCCGTTTACTGGAGGAACACTTTTTGTGCTACCAAACATCACAACGTAACTGGGTGATTATAAAGGAGCTCTACAGGTGTCTCTAAAGGTACATGTTGAGTTGGCGTATTTCGAGATTAGGTTTTGTCACTCCGACTGTCGGAGAGGTATCTCTGGGCCCTCTCGGTAATGCACATCACTATAAGCCTTGCAAGCAATATAGCTAATGAGTTAGTTACGGAATGATGCATTACATAACGAGTAAAGAGACTTGCCGGTAACGAGATTGAACTAGGTATTGAGATACCAACGATCAAATCTCGGGCAAGTAACATACCGATGACAAAGGGAACAACGTATGTTGTTATGCGGTTTGACCGATAAAGATCTTCGTAGAATATGTAGGTGTTAGGGAACGTAGTAATTTCAAAAAATTTCCTACGTACACGCAAGATCATGGTGATGGCATAGCAACGAGAGGAGAGAGTGTTATCCACGTACCCTCGTAGACCGTAAGCGGAAACGTTATGACAACGCGATTGATGTAGTCGTACGTCTTCACGATCCGACCGATCCAAGTACCGAACGTATGGCACCTCCGAGTTCAGCACACGTTCAGCTCGATGACGATCCCCGGGCTCCGATCCAGCAAAGCTTCGGGGATGAGTTCTGTCAGCACGACAGCGTGGTGACGATGATGATGCTCTACCGGCGCAGGGCTTCACCTAAACTCCGCGACGATATGACCGAGGTGGAATATGGTGGAGGGGGGCACCGCACATGGCTAAGGAACGATCCGTAGATCAACTTGTGTTGTTATGGGGTGCCCCCTGCCCCCGTATATAAAGGAGCAAGGGGGAAGGAGGCCGGCCCTAGGAGGGGGCGCGCCAAGTGTGGAGTCCTACTAGGACTCCCTAGTCCTAGTAGGATTCCACCTCCCTTGTTGGAGTAGGAGAAGGGGAAAGAGGGGGAGAGGAAGAAGGAAAGGGGGGCTGCGCCCCTTGTCCAATTCGGACCAGAGGGGGGGCGCAGGCCTCCTTCCTTTTGGCCTCTCTCCTCTATTCCCATATGGCCCAATAAGGCCCATATACTCCCCGGCGAATTCCCGTAAC